TGCAGCCGTGTAATTGCCCAGCCTGACCCCGACTCCCCCCCTTTGACACTCACCTCCGGCACTTTATGAAAGCAATAATGGGGTGAAGGAGGGCGGGGGAGGCTTGGCATCCCGGGAGGCCTGGAAAAGTTGCCTTTTCACATGCTGTTGTTTTGAGAAGTCTTTGCAAACACCCCACACCTTCTCCCGGTGCCCCTGAGCCTTCATCGCTGCCCAGCCAGGGCAAAGCCACCCCCCGGGATCAGCATCTCAGCCCCATAAGCGATGGTGCTGCAATGGCTCCAGCCGCCTCAGCATCATTTTCCGTGTACAGCGCATACTGGGAAGCGGTGGGAGAGCCAGAGGATGTGGAAGAAAAGGCTGTGCCAGCAGGATGAGGGCTGTGGTGATGTTAAGTGACAGCTTCCAGCTTCTCAGGCACCTGCCGTGCTGGGGATGCTGGCGGGGACGGATTCACCCAGCCTGTTCATCACCCGCCGGAGGGGTCTCGGCGTGGGCTGGGGGGGTTGAGCAGACACTGATGCATTTACACACGGGCTGGGGTGAGCCGAAGGCAGCGGGCGAGACGAGCCTGGGGAAACGCATGCTGTTTCCAAAAAGATGTGATTTATGTGTCACCACGCACGGTTATTCTGCGGGCGGGGACAGGCAGGGGCAGCCGGGTGCCCGGACGGGCAGCGCTGGCGGCCGCGGGGTTCGCAGGCTATCGCGTGGGATTGGCAGAGACCTGCTCCTGTGATGCTCTGAGTTTGTCTTCTCCACGGCTGACCCCAAAGACGGTGTCCCCCCCCGTGATGGGGGCTCAGAGGACTGTTGGGGCTGCAGTGGCCGTGCCAGGGCTGACCAGGAGATTGCTGCAGTTGCAGGATAGCGATGGCCGAGCATCTCCCCAGGCTGCGGCTGTGGTGGGGTTTTGAGCCCTCTGGGGGTTTGGTGGGGGCTGGCACCAGGGGGCCGCAGGGAGAGGGAGCAAAGCCCTCCCTCACCGCCAAGGCCATGGCAGGCTCAGGGGGGCACTCCCACTTTTCTCTGGTTTGAACCCATTTTTCTGGGTTGGTGCCTTTGCAAGAGCCTGTGCCTGCCCAGTGAGCTCAGCGCGACCTGGGGAGGCAGAGAGCAGGGGAGATAAATATTTCAGCCTTGCCTTTAAAGAAGGGAAGGAAATCCTTTTTGCTTAAGAGGGGGTGATGCATATTTGATGAGGGCAGGGCTGGGAGCACGGCATTGAGCCTGCAGCACCCCGGAGGAGGAGGCTCCCACCTCCTCATCTGCGTGAGTGAAGCATGAGAGAGGACGAGGATGGAGAAGGAGACCTGGGAGAACACAGGGCCTCCAGCACCCACCAGCACTCCCAACCTGGTTTCGAGCCCCCTGGGGCTGAGCCCGGTGGGCAGCAGTGCACCGGGGGCTCCTCCAGCGCCCGGGGTGATTGCCGAGCCGTGCCGGGGCTCAGCCGGCGGAGGGAGACGTGCCCTGCACGCTTCCCTGGGCACCGCTCGGGCAATTGGCCTATTTACAACTGGGGGTCAAAGCCGATTAAGAGGGAGCATCGGTGCTGCCTCCGCTGCCTTCCCTGCGTGGCAGTGCCGGAGTCAACGTTGGCCAGGGAAAATCAGCTTCGGGCCCCAGTCCAGCCACGCCATCCCCCTCTCCCAGCAAGCCCGAAGAAAGCCCCTTTAAACGGGCTTAACCGCAGCTTCTCAAGTGCTCAACGCAGGGATAAAAATTAAGGCTCTAATTCTAGAAGGTAAGTACAGCAGGATCAGAGCTGTGCCGTGCCGAGGAGCACACAGGAGCCCTCGCTGGGCATCCCCATCCCCAAAAATGCCAGCCTGGGGAAGGGCAAAATGGTGTGAAGCTCATGTGTGCCGGGTTGAAACCCTGCACAGGCAGGAGGGCAGGAGCAGCTGGGGGGAGGCTGTGAAGGATCATCCCTACAGCGGAGCAAAGCAGGGCAGTTTCCCGGCCGGTGCCGGGTCTCAGCGGCGTTGCCTGAGCCTGGGATGCTGGAATTGGGGTGAACGGGCTCAGCGGCACAGCCCAGCCCCAAAGGCAGGGTGTTCTGGTCCCTTGGCTGCCGGCACACGGGTCGGCTGTTCCTAAATCACTGAGCGCCTTGTCCTCCCCATGCTGCAGCCACGGGAGTACGGCACTCGGTGGCACTCGGGCAGCCTGGCTCAGCCAAGTTTAACGCAATTAATCCAGGGCTGGTGGCTTAATGAAGTTCAAATGCTCGGACAGGGAGCAGCATTTTCTGGATCATTGTCAATAAATCAAACCCAAAACTACGGATAAAAGGGGATGAAACACACAGGGCACGACACGCTGATGAGCAGATGGGAGAGGAAAAGGGAAAGGCTCCGAGGAGGAAAGCTGTGTTGAGCCCTGGGGATCTGGCTGGGATGTAGGGGCTCTGCCAGCGTCAGGGCGGTCAGTGCCCCACAGTTAATTTCTCTGGGAGACTAACGAGGCCGTCAGAGGAATGATGCCTGATAACGGCGTGGCTGCCCAGGAGGGAGCGGGGACCCAGGAGGGAGAAATCAGCTGCTTAGTTTTCCACAGCACCGAGCATCCTGCCGTGTGCAGGACGG